AATGTTAATAAATAAATAAATAAAGTAAAAAAAAGAAAATGCCTTTTGCCATCACTAGTAAAAACACTTCCTAATGAACAGAGGAAACATTAATTTATATATTCTCCACATGTATGCATATATATATAATACATATGTATTATAAATATGCATGTATATGTGTATCTCTTCCTTTGGAAAGTGGAAAACTATTACTTTCAGGTTACTCTTATGACTTTAAAAAATTCTCCAAATTAAAGTGTCGTAGCCTCCAGATATATTTAAATGATTCATGAAGATCTGTTTTAAACAAAATTTACTAGGCTGCTGACCATTGTTCATACTTAAAAGGCAAAATGTAACTCGATTAGAATAATTTTTTTAAATCTAACTGTTCAGAACTGAACTTTTAAAATGAGCTTCCTATTTTTATCTTTCAATGCAGAATTTTGAAGATTTTTAACCGGCCGCTGATTTTTTTTTAGAATACTGTGAAGTATTAACACGGGCAAAATCTTATCACAGTGGATACTAATCATCAAAGTTTTCCCTGCACTATTTTCATATATCCCTAGGAATTCTACAGTAATGGACATGCATACGTTTGGTCCTTTCTTAGTTTCTGTGTGTTCGATAGTCATCCAGAAATAATTTAATGTTCTTTTGTTGCCACTTCTGACTCTTACTAGCATGTGACCTTAGCAGCTCACTCAGCCTTCCTAGTTATCAAAGGATGACGGGTAAAACCAAGACAGGACCCAAACCGAATTAATTATTTTGTGTTTGCTCTGAAGTAAAACTACTCTTCAAATTCTCCAGTGTGTCAGTCACATCACCCATCAGAGAACACGCATTAACTCTAAAGCCACTTACAACACCTGAAACAAATGGGGAACAATCCCAATATTTAAAGCAGTCAATCTGTTCAGTTCTTTTCACTGAAGGGTTTTAAGTCCTACTTTTTACTTCCTGTTTCTAACACGTGTTAATTGAGTGTGTGATGGGTGGCTTCTAGTAAACAGTATAAGGCACGGAGGGAAAACAGTGAACAGAAGCACCCTGGACAGAACAAACCAGTGCGGTTACCTATGAAGTACCTGTAACTGGAGTTTCCTTCGACACCTGTTTTCAACAGAAAAGTGCCATGTCTCAGGGATGGAGATTAAAACTGTCCTGCAAAGTGGCATTCCTCCTCCTCCTCAAAAAGGTAGCTGTAGAAATAACAATTAAAATCATCTCAGGAGCCTAGCAGTAAGGTTGGCTCTGGAAGACTGTGCCGTCTCACACACACACACAACCTGTCGGGGCTTTCCAGGGGCGGTAGGTCAGTGGCTCTCGGCACCCATTAATTACATTGGGAGTCATGTAGTCAGTAGAATCTGTCGTCCTCCACTGAAACGGAATCTTTCAAAATCTGAGATACAGTGAAACGATTTTTACTGGTGCTGCATAAATATCTAAGTGGTTTTTGTATTAATTTAACATTGTTCTGCTTCACGATTTCCTTGTGTAAATGTAGGAATTTTTTCAAGGTCTAAGATATTTTCCTGTAATTTTACATTTATAATAGCTGAGAAGATTCATTTTTTGTTGTAGAATACCTTCCACAACCATGTCCTCAAACAAATGTTACAGCTAAATTGTAAATCAACTAAAAACGCTCATGTCGGAAGTGTAATATGAGCAGACATGACAAGTGTGGGGACTGCTCGGAGGTCAGGGTGTAGCCCCGACAACGAGAAGGCAGTCAGTAGAAGCTGCACGAGGTTTCAGAAATAGGCCCACAAAGTGTCCTTAGTAAGAAGAGAGAGGGAGGTGCTGTTGAGTCTTAGAGTTTATTTTCAGAAAAGCAAAAGAAACCTAGGAGATCACTTTAGAAGAGAAAGAAAAGGAGCCACAATGTCCCAGCCTAGCGGAGCTGACCCTCAGAAAGTCTTGAGTCAGGAAGGAAATGGGGTCGTTGGATTTTGTTGCCACTTCTGATTCTTTGGAGCATGTGACCCTGGAGAGTCCCTTAACCTTCCTGTAAATGAGAGAGCCGGACTCCTTGTGGCTGCAGAGTCCTACCACCCGTGACTCTGCTGCCAAGTCCACACGAGTGCACGAGACCATGCTGTCCTGGAGGCCAGAGCTGCACGGGTTGGTGTGGTCCTGCAGGAGGACAGTGCTGGCCTGGTCTGAGCAGGGTCCTATCAGGTGCAGTCCTGGCCTTCTCTGACGGGGATGTGACCCGGGGGAGTCCTGTGATCTGTGCTTCCACGGCCTGGTCTGTGATGGGGCAGTAGTGCTGCCACCACCATTTGGGTTGGAATGATTGAATACCATCTCAGGAAACACCCTCATCAGAGGGTCTGGCACATAGTAAGTGACTGCTGCCCAGACGGGGAGCAGCTTCTGGCCTTAGAGGGGCCTCTCAGCTCTGCCATCAGGCCTGACCTGGGCAATGACCTGGGCTCCTGATCTCCTGTCAACTCACCCGGTTTCCTGGAGTTGCTCCGGGCCCCACCCCACCGTGTTAAGATGACTGTGCCGTCACCTGGTCCTGCAGCTGCAGAAGGCAGGCCGTGGTGCCTCCTCCTGTGCCACCTCTGCAGGGAGCCGGGGCTCCAGGAAGTGGGAAGAGGGGAAGGACCAGGGTGAGTGGGCGGGGAGGGCTTGGCTGGGGTGTGTCGGGAAGGGGGCGGGAGGGCAGGTGTGTGCAGAATGGGCACAGAGAAATCCAGGTGTCACTGGAACCCAGTGTAAAGGGAGACCTGAGGGTGGGGTGATGTGTGGGCAGAAACAACGAGAAAGAAGGGCTTGTGAAGGCTGATGTGTGGCCCCTAACAGTGAGCCAGACGCCTGGCAGCTTGCTTGGTCAGCGGGCTGTCTGGGGCTCATAAACACCAGCAGCTGGTTCCCATAGTCCAGGGGTTGAAGTCGGGGCTCAGGTGCCAGCCTGGCTGCGTCCTGGTGACAGCCTCTCCCAGGTTGCAGACGCTGGTATCTCCTGTGTCCTCACCCGGTGGGGTACAGAGCGGGGAGGCACAGTCCCCTGGGACCCTTCTGAGGGCACTGATCCCACCGGGAGAGCCCCACCCTTGTGACCTCGTCTAACCCTGGTCTCCCCCGCAGAGGCCCCACCTCCTAAATACATCACATTGAGGGCTCTCTGCGTGTGAATTTAGGGGGCACAAATGCTGAGTCCATCACGGGAGTGCAGGGAGGAGGGCACTAATGTTTCCTTTACTCCAGCCAGCCGTGCCCTTAGGTGGCAACCCACCGAACATGCCCCTCCAGCCTTAACCACAGACATGGACTTGGACGTCTGCAGAAAACATCAGAACTGTTCTCTCCAGAGTCCCTAATCTCAGTTTTAATTGTACATCTATACCCCTGAGGCTCTCTCTTTTTTTAAATTACAGTTTACTGAAGTGGGTTACAGGTGATGGAAATACCAGTGGTCTGTGGGCAGCAGGGCGCATGGTCCTTTCCTCAGATCCTCCTGCACATTGGGCGGGGCTGGCTTTCACCCCACCGTCCCTGGGGCTTGAGCTGCTCATTCCTGCTGGAAACCCCGAAGTTAGGGTTACATTCAAAACCATAACTTTTCTTTGTTCTGGGTTGATGAGAGGAACCAAAAGATTAAAGTTCTAGAACATTTAAATAATTTCCCCTCTTTTTCAGAAGGCTGGTCGTTCCTTCTTACCCTGGGAGTGTCTGCTTGCTTGATGAGTCCACTGTGAGCAGAGCTGATTCTGTATGCTGCGTGTTGATTCACACAGCAAAGGGCTTGGGGTTACCTGTGAATCCGAGGTTTCCTCACCTGCTCTCTACCTTTCTCAACCTAAGAATAATCCAGATAGTTCTTGGAGCTGAGCCACCACAGCCGGTTTGTCCCCAGGGAGCTCTCTCACGTCCTGGCCATGGCTGGCTGAGGGGTACAGGGTCCCCTTCCCCTGTGCAGAGAAGCCACGACCCCACACCACTCACTGACTACAACTCAGAACTCTGGGAAACCTACCAAAACAACTACCTGAGGGCTCTGAAAAATAAGCAAAGTCGGCCGACTGTGGAATGGACTCAGACTTGGAGAGGGGATCCCATACACCTACGGGTCCTGTCCTGGGATGCCGAGAACTTTAGTAGACACTCCATCCTGCTTATCAGGAACCAGGGGAAGGGTGCAGAGAATCCCAGAGCGTTCCCCTAATTCTGCATGTAAATCCACACAGATTCTGGCTTAATCCCTGAACCACCATGCCAGGGGCAGACCCAGAGCAACATAATGGGTGTGCCAGTGTCCTGGGGCTGCTTTGAAAATCACCACAAATGTGGCGCCTGAAACTGACAGAAGTGGATTCTCTCCCAGCTCTGGAATCCATTCTGGAGCCAGAGGTCTTAGGTCATTTTTATTATTTGTTAATTGGACTTCATCAAAATTTAAAATTTTTTTGCTTTTTTGAAGATACCGTAAGAATGTGTAAAAGCAAGCCTCCGACTGGGAGAAAACACTGAAGAATTTGTATAGAGACTACATTACGAACTCTTACAGCTTGATTCCAAACAACCCAACAGAAAAATGGGGCCCAGATTAGGACACTAACAAAAGAAGGTACACAGATGTCTGACAAGCACATGAAGTGACGTTCCAAGTAGTTTGTATCAGGGAAAGGCGAATGAAACGTTCAAGATACACCCACTCTCGTCTGGCTGTGGTTAAAAGCAGTGACCACACCGAGTGTCAGTGAGGAGGTGGAGCTGGTGGGGATGCAGAATGGTGCAGTGCTTTGGGAAACATGCTGGCAATTCCTTTAAAAGTTAAACGTACACCCACTCTATGACCCAGCCCAGCCTTTCCCCTTCTAAGTCAAGTTACTGCAGAGAAACAGAAATAAATGTCCCGGACGTGAATGTTTACTGCAGCTTTGTTTGAAGTAGCCCAAGCAGGAAACAACCCAAATGTTCATTGTAAGAGTAAATGAGAATTATTTTCTCCATGGATGAAGGGTGAAAGGACCATTTTCTCTTTCTCTTCTCAGAGTGCTTCCTGGGAGACACAGTGAGTCTGCACCCTTGCTCTGATTGGAGCAGAGGTCGGTCTCTCCGGAGCGAGGGAGCAAGCCCGTCTCCAGTGGGACGAGACTGAGTAGACAGACTCAGGAATTCGCTCCAGGCTGCCCACAGGAAGTGTGGTAGGTAAGAAGTGTGGTTTAGTCTCTGGAAGATAAGAGAAATTATTGTTCTTTTGTTTCCTTTGCTGCATAAAATGTCAGGTTTCCCCCTAACTTTTCAGTCATTTTCGGGCCGCCTTACGTGCACGTAAATCTGTTAGTGCTCCACAGGGAAGCGTGTTCTCCAGTCTTGCGACTGTACAGGCGCCTTCCTTCCGGCCTGTTGCTTTACTTCCCCACCCCCACCCCACCTGCAGGTGCCTGGATAGGCAGACGGTTGTCTGTCCAGACCGTGGATCACACTCAGCACAGGAAAAGAGGGAATTACTGATTCACGTGACAGCATGAATGACTTTCAGCAAGTCATGCTGGGGCCCAGGATGTGCCCAGTCCCTCCGACACCGACTTCTGGCTCTCATTTCGGCCTCAGTTGTCTTGATATTCCCTGAAGCTGAGCTCTTGGACCAGAAACAGCCATATGTTTTCCCTCAGTTCCTTATCTTATCTTCAGACAATTTTTTAGAGGCAACATGGAATTCGTTCTTGGGGGAGGGGAGCAGTTGGACCTCAGTCTCATCACTTGAGAAACATCTATAAAAATACACAGGGCTCTGACTCAGCCACGTGCCAGTGACCTGAGGACAGAGTCTCAAGTCTGGCTGCAAGCAGGTGCCGACCTGGGAGCACCCCCACCATCGTTCGGGGGCTCCCTGAACACCCACGGGAACTGTGCTATAATTGATCTGAGATGGAGCTGGGAATCTATGTTTTCCTGAGGGGTCCAGTTATTCTATGCAGCAGAGTGTGGGCACCAGGGCTCTAAGGGTGCCATCATTGACTGAAAACCCCATTTTTTCAGCCCCTCCCCTTCATCCTTATCAGCAGGCTGATGCCTGGAAGCCCCTCAGGGGAGCCAGTGGCAGCTGGCACACAAGTGTCAAAGGCCACCGACCAGCTTCTGCCATTATTTTTGCACTTTGCTTTTCTTTCCTTTAACTAAGTCTTCGAAATCTATTAAAATGCAGAGTTGCTGAGGCAGGTAACAGTGAGTTAGAGATGGCTCCCAATTCTCCACCTTCCTCCCCACGGAGAGCTGAGGTCTCTGTTGCCTCTGCTCTGAGTTTCGGAAGAACAGACTGCAGCAGAGATGTGCAGGTCTTAGGAAACTGGCTGCTTCCCCTTCCCGTCCCTTCCTGTCTCTAAGGACACTTGCTTTGGGGACGGGGAGGCCATGCTGTGAGGAAGCCCCAGAGCCCGTGGAGAGGGCCAAATGGAGCCAGGGCGGGGGGCACCAGCCAATGGTGAGCTCGGGAGTGGGTCGTCATCCAGGTGCTTCCAGTCCACCAGGCTGATGCCTCGTAGGTCTGGGTGAGCTGTCCCTGCACAGTGCAAACTCAGGATCCAGATCCATGACTGATGTTTTGAGCTGGTTGGCTTTGCAGAAATGGATCTCTAGGAGGGGGCACACTCAAGTTGTCAGTTGTTTAAGACAAGCTCCCTCTCGTCTCTGCTCTGCCACTGAGTAGCGAGCGGTGTGACCTGGGACAAGCAGCCGGTCTTCATAGACCTCAGTTCTATGCATCATGAACTTGAGTGAAACTGGACTAAACAAGCAAGAGGCTTAAGATTCAATGAATTTGTGAAACTTTGTGATTTGAATTTTCATCTGAATGAAGGGTGGGGGAGCAAGTTTTGGTGGGAGGTGGAGAGAGTGGAAATCTTCCCTGACAGCATCCCCTCCCCTCTGAAGTAAGTGGGGCCCTGACTCTTCCCCAGCACACACGTGCACTGCAGGGTTACTGCAGTCTGTTACAATGGCCTGTTTACCTTCCTCCCGAGTAAAGACCATAATCTGTTCTACTTTACATCTCTAATACTTAGCGCCTAGCTTGGCAGGCAGTAGGTCCTTGATAAATATTTGCTGAATGATAAATGGGTCTAGGGTAGATGGATGGAGGCTGAAAGCAGACGGATGGAGTGAAAACCATTCATGAAAAAGGGGCTGTAATTTCCAGCTCAGTGATTCTCAAGGAAGGATATAGTCAGGCAGCACCTACAACTCCTATGGGTTTTCCATCACAAAGTGTGTTTTGGTATTTAATCAACCTTAAAAGAGTGTATGAGATATTGAGTCCTCTACTGGAAGCATGTGTTGTAAAGAAGCTGGGATACCATGTTCTGGCTTCTTGGGCTCTGCCTGGGGCTGGTCCTGCTTCGCTGCCCCCTCCTTCTCACTTGGAGACCAGAGTGTCATCTCAGAGGTGAATCTCAGAATATCAGAAGGAAACTCAGTGCACTCTGTCTCATTTACCAAACTGCCTTAAACACTCCCAGACAGACCCTGGGGGGCTCGGCTTGGAACCAGTTTAATTCTTCTAGTTAGTGCCCTTGAGGACGTCAGAAGGTGAGTCTGCCTGGTCTGCGAGGAGCCACAGAATAAGGCTGGATTTAGGTGATACTGTTGTCCTGAAGTGGAGGAAACAAAGTCACCCCCACCCCATCCCATCAGGACTGTCCAGGTCAAATGCACTCAGTAGTCAGGGACTGCCTGTCCTGAGACTGAAAGGTGCAGCCACGCCAGGTATGATTAAACACTTGCCCTCAGATGCTTTTCAGAATTTATCCATAACAGCAACATATGGTTTGTGTCCTGCTGGGACTTTAAGGTTACTGCATTGAGAAGGAAGGGAGGATTTTTCTCTTGAAATTTCTCACTTGCTTGAGCTGTGCGGTTTTCAACAGGAAGAACTGACCTTCCAAATACCTTCTGTGATGCCAGCGTGTTCCTCTGTGTCTTTCCTTACATGTTAAGGAGCTCAAGAGTTTAAGACTATGTGTAGTTTGATAGTTTCTTTCCAGTTTGTCCAAAGAAGTCTGCCCCTTTTCTCTGATGTGGACTTTTATTTTAGACTTATTAAGGCACTGAAAACACTCTTCCCTTCTGAGTACTGAGATGAACAAATGCATGTTCTTTCCCTGGTCTTTTGTTCTGGACCCAAAGCATTTCAGACCATTGGGTGTAAGGTATTTCTCATCTGTCTGTGTTGAATATTCCTTCTTCAAACTATGCTCTTTCATCTTTGCTGAAAATACAAGCTAATCTATTTATGTGAGTTATAAATACACATCAGTGTCTATGATAAAAGAAAAAAAACAGGAGGAATCCAGGTGAGCTGGGGGGCAGAGGGAGAAAAGTACAGTAAATGGAGAAGTGGGAGTAAAGGTGACCCCAGATTGAGACACAGAAATATGGACCGAGTGAGATGGGGCAAGGAATGTGTATCAGTCAGGGCAGGATAGGTTATGCTGTGGTAACAAGCATTCTGCTGATCTCAGAGCCTTCAAACCAGAGAATTTTACCTCTCATTCAGAGAAATCCCCTGAGGTCTGGGTGACCTTCCTGAGCAGCTGCCCCTTATGTCACATTTCATCAGACGATGCAAGACCAAGGCCCAATTTCAACTATGTGGGCTGTCAGTGAACAAAAGTAATCATTGCCCCAGAATAGAAGGGGGAGTGCTTAGGAAGCAAAGAGAGGCTGCAAACCCGAGTGGGGCCACTCAGGAGCACTTTGGGGTGCAGAGTCCAGATTTGGGGGTGTAAGGTCTCGGGGGGCCTTTGGGGGGTAACAGATGTCACCCTTGTTCCCACCCACTTTCTGATCCAACTGAGAAGGGAGGCAGGAGGTTCTGCTGGAAGGCCACCTTGGTTCCTGACAAAGATGACTTCCCACCAGGACAAGCAGATGTGTCACACTAATGGAGGAAAACTCCAGGAGGAACAGGGGCAACCCTTCTCCCCGAGGGGACACGGGAGGAGGCAGCCGGCTCCTCTAGAGGCCACTGCACCCAGTGTCAGGGTGGCTGAGAGAGGGCACGTGAGAGACGGAGGCAGGAAAAGACAGAGATACGACTCAGGGAGAGCAGAGACTTGGAGACAGAGGAAGACGTTCTGAGGGGAAGAAAACACCTGGAGAGACAACTGAGACGGGGAGAGGGAGAGACACAGGGACTCGGGGAGAAATATGAGAGAGAGAGAGAGGCAGAGATAGGGAGACAGACAGACAGATGAGAGCGATAAAGACAGAGAGAAAGAGAAAAAGAGGCAGAAACAGAGACAGAGACACAGAGAGAGACGGGAGACAGAGAATGAGAGAGAAATAGAGACAGGACGAAGAACAGAGTGGCAGAGGGGAGACTCCGGTGAAGCCACAGCAGTAGCTACAGAGAACCCGTCCCAGGTGGGTGGGCAGCTCGGGGGACTGGAAGCAGGAACTGAAGGTGCCCTAGTTCTCCGGCGTGCCTGCTGTGTCGTCCCGGACTCCTCACCTTGCAGGACCCTCGCTGCCAAGCTCAAGTGTGATGTTGTAGGTGACTTGTTGCTCAGAAGATGCTGAAGGCCAGGGGTTCTGAGTAGGCCGTTCCTTGCTCCTTGGAGCCCTGGCCTGGGCGGTGGCAGGCATCCCGGGGTGGGGGCCGCAGGCCTCTGAGGCTCTGCAGTGCTCCGACACCAGCCACCTGGCTGCGAGGAGCACCTCTTTGCGTTTCTCTCTCATCCGTCTTGACAATCATCTTTAGAAAGCTTGCTAAACTGTGGCTGGATTGAAACAGAAAACATTTGCAGCCACGTTCTTTTAAACGTTTTTGTTTGCTTGTCTGTTTATTGCCAGAACCACACAGCAAACCTTTGCACTGATTCTCCCATTCGTTATTTTTCATCTTGGAAGGTGAAAAAAAGTGGGGTTCTCACAGAAGACTCTGAGTTCAGCTCCAGTTCCCCCTTTGGGTAGAGTCAGTGTGACTGTCTTCTCTGTGTGTATTCTTCCTGGCTGTTTGCAAAAACCACTTTCCAGGCTCTGGAAGATGCCCAGATGTACATCTTCTTGGTGAAGTTCCCAAGCTGAGGGGTTTGCACAATCAGATGACCCATGCGCCCCTGGAGAGTGCGTGCCTCACTTGAAACGCTCGCCCACATTTGGCATTTAGAGAATAACTGAAGTAGCTTTCATCCTTTTTGGCCTT